GTGAAATGCTGCTTTCCCTGGTTTAGGGTATTTCTCACAGCTATCAGCTTTGCGTTCAGTGGTTTAGATCTTCAGCATACTCTGTCTCTTTCTCTCTGCGACAGTCACTGATTCTCCCCTGTCCCTGCTGGCATTTGGTAAATGGAGGAAACAGCTCGTGATGTTGCGCTACTGGGTCTAGACTTAATAGAGCAGGAAGCAAAGTCCCAACCAGCCTGTTTGGCTTACTCTGCAGCAAGTCAATGCCGGTTTGTGACACTAGAGGGCACCATCTTACAAAGACTGGCACAGCTGTTAGACTAGAGCTGTAGTTTTCAATCTTGTACCTATCTTGTACATTCTAACCTAGGATTATGATAGAAGGAAAAAGCCATTTTTCTCCCAAAGGACACTTATATGTTTATAGGCACTTTGCTATTATAGTTACCTTTTACGATAAATATGAACTTAATAGTATGTTTTATCATGAGATCTCCCTGCAGTCTAGTATTGGCGCGGAATTACCACAAAAGGAGACCCTGGGCGCCCTTTTGAGGAACCAAGCCCTCCTCTCCATCAGCTGTGGCTGTGAAAGAGATAGAGGTGCCCTTAGTGCTCACTGTCTGGGCAGAGAAGGGCATGCTCTCAGCAGGCAGAAGGGTGTCTGGACAAGGGCCTGCTTATTGGCCAGGTTGCCAAGAGGTGAGAACTGGTTCATTATGTTGGCCTGGTGGCTGGGCAGGAACACAGAATTGGGGCCAGGCCAATTAAGAATACTGTAGGAAAAGTCACAGGTAGATGCCCATTAAGGCAGCCTTGGGAAAATGGGCCACTCCCTGCTGTTGGCTACCATAGCCAAGGCTTCTCATCTCTACTGCAGAGCAGCAGCTGTTCTTTGTGTGAGTGGTTATGTTCAGTTGGCACATGTATCCCCTGGAGCTCACAATGGATTTCTTTTCTGATTTTGTAATTATTCTTTCCTTTGCAGGAGGAACATCTTAAGAATCTCTTTTCCCCCTGCAGCATGAAATGCTTCTGTTGGAAACTGTTATCCTTCATTCTGCTGCATTTGGCAGGGTACGCCTGCATCTCCCCTAGGCTCCAGGGTACTGCTAGTGATACATGCACCACTGATTGTAAAACATTGGATTAGAGGACACTGTGTGAAAGAGATTAGAAGGGGCTTTCTTATATTGGCGCTGGGACCCTCTGTTTGCCAGTTTGTAAAATGTAAGAGAAGGAGCCTTTGTGCTGCGGTAAACATGCTCAGGGTTTTTTTTTTCCAAGTTAAGAGAACTGGCCACTGACCTCCACTTCTTCTCCCCTCTCTAAATTCCTTATGGAATTTGGTTACTCCTGAGACTGAGGCAGGAAAAAAGCTTCTTTCACAAGGAGTAATGATTTTCATGAATGCTGGCACCCTGTTTGGCCTGGCATTGGGACAAACGGCAGGGAATGGAATGCCCCTTCCTGTTTTGCCTCGCTTGTGAAAATTGCAGTGGCAATTTTCAATGTAGTTGGAAGCCAGTATCCTGGATTAAGCGGCAAGGCTGTCCTTAGGGAGGGGGAAGTTTTTCTCAAATTTAAAGCTTATTTTAATGCTACCCTAAGAAGGTGCAGTAATCAAGATAGGGGAATCTAAACTTAAAACAATAATTAGGGTGTTACAAATTTTGATTTTAATTAGAAAATCCCTTCCCAAACAATAAGGCCAGATTTCTAGATATAAAACAAATTTGCTTGAGAAAAGAGGAAAGCAGGAAAAATAAGGGAAGGCAGTCCTCCCCACCCTCCATCCCCGAATTCCAGATAAAGATGGTCTATCTGATAGACTGTCTGTTAGCTGCTTGAGTGGGACAAACTCTTAGTTTTTGGTTTGGCACAGCTATGCCCCTAAAGTAGCAGTGAGTTGGCCCCAAGTCAGATGCCTAAATAAGTGGAATTCAGTTTTTTCCCCTACTCCATAACAAAGTTTTTTCTATATAATCCATTGTAGACAATGCCACAACTCAGTTTGTGCCTTTATCATTCCCCTACAGAGTGATTAGAAAGGTTGGTTCAATTACTAGACAATTTCTGATTTGCTGGCTAGACCCAAGATAATAAAGATGGAACATTACCCTTGATTTGATAAAGCACTAATCATTACCCTGAAAGAGACTGTCTTTGACTTACCTTCTCCATCCAACTGAGAATTGTGCTCAAAAAAATAGAAGAGAAAGGGAGGGGCTGCCTAGTAACATAAAAAAGCAAGAGGCATCTCTCCCACTTTTCTCTGAAGATGTACTGAACCTCAGGAGTCTCAGGCAAACAGGTAGTAACTAGTTTAGCTAGAGTGACTGTATTGATTTTTAGGGCTGGGCTGACTTTGAATATGACTTGGAAGAAGTCCTTCTGACCTCACATCAGTGCTATTTTAGTGCCTCTCCTATATTCATTAAAGTAGTCTGACTTTTTCAGGCTTTTATTCTTTTAAGAGTCACATGAAAATCTTAAAGCAGTGGTGCTTTTTTTTTTTTTAATGCTTGCATGGAACCCTAAAAAAAAGTCAGGCTATTTTGAAGAGTAGTGGAGAGGTGCTGTGCCTGTGTGTGGTCTGAATTCCAAAAGAATTGAGATGGGAGGATCATTGTGTATGGCACCCATTCTGTGTGAAGACTCCAAAAGACTATGATTCCCATGCATTTTATACTGCCTAATAAGACTTGTTCGGTCCATTAAAACTTGGCCAGTCCCATTTTGGTGTTTTTCTCATACCTCCTGGTACTTTTCCACATGGAAACTACGGATTGATTTAAAAACTGTCTTATGTTGTGAAAAATATAAGTTTTGTCTTCTTCAGAGTTTTAATTCTGGTATATTTTCACATGCTGAATAAACTGAAATCTTTATTTGAGCAACCTTTCTGCCTCTTTAGCCTGCTCTTAGTGGGTCTTATGTACTCCATAAATCCTACATGCTTATTCACACAAGCCATGGCATAAAACTACATGTCATTATATAATGATTGGCATTATATAGCAGTGATAATACAGTGATATTAATACATGTTCCATTAATTAATGTGGGGGGATAATGAAGCATTAAGAATTCTCCAGCTGGAAAGATTAGGGTATTTTGGGAGCTTCAGTCTGACTGATGGTGGTCTGTCCTAAATATCTCTTAGTGGGGAACTGTTAGAAGAAGGGATTTGTCAGCGACTTTTTAAATTAGTGTCCCCGCAGCTTGTGACAGTGAGTTTCAGAAGTTAGTGAGAGTTCTTTGTAGAGAGAATTATCTGAGAGAGGAAGAGCAGGTTGGCCTCCTGCTTAGATGTTAATTAGCTTCTTTCTTCCATCTGTTTTTCTCCTTTTTAGAGCAACAGTCTCAGATTTATAGAAATTTGAGTTAAGTGAAAGCCAGCCACTTGGGGAAGCTGTTGTTTTGCCCAATCAAGCTAAATGCTCAGTCTCTCAAATCACGAGTTTAGTTAGGAAATCAGATTATTATGTGGTGGCTAAATTTACCTTCTCAGTGATCCTACAGTTGAACAATAAAAGTACTGGTCAGTCTTTGCCACTCCTAAGAGCTTATGTTAGAAATGTTTATTGGAAGAGTTTTGATGTATTTAGGCCTCTCAGCATGGAGCCAACTTACCAGATGCTGGGTGGGAGGGCAGTTGTCACAAGGAGAAGAAAGGTCCTTTGTGAACATGTATTTTCTTCCTGGAATTGCTTTCTAGTTTGGAGGGCGGGGGTCTTAGTTGTCCAGTTTGGCTGTTGTGGTTAAACTGGATGTAATTTGGAGTGGAGGGGATGATAATGTTTGCTACTGGTCACAACAAACACAGGCATAGCTGGGTGAGCTGTTCCATGAAAGTGAGGGGTACTTGCCTTTGATATCTGCATTAAGTACCATTAGATTGGTAGAATGGTTGATAACTATCTGACCTCTAGAGCGCAGCTCATTGCAACAATGGCCCGTGGAGTTTCCATTGAATAGTGGGTTTTTGTGAAGTCTAGTGAGGCTTGTCTTGGGAGACACCCCCAATTCAGTTGTTCAGCTGATATTAATGCAAGAGCTGGATAGTTTCTAAAGCTCAGTGAAAGTGTCCATTTCAGTCCTTGGCAAGAATGAACTATCTTTTTCTTGGCCACTTGCTGGACAAGAAAGAAAGGATGGAAAAAGAAATGTCATAAAAGAGGAGACAGAGAGAAGGGAGGGATCTTTCTCTTTTGACTTTCCCACTGTGAGCAAGAGGCCTCTGACAGATTTCTGCCCTGATTTTTTTTTGGGGGGGGATCCTCCAATCCTGTATTAATGAGTAGCATTTTTTTTTCACAAACAAAATACTGAGATTTGACAACATATGGTTTCTCCCTCTTCAGATAAAAGTGATATTTGGAGAAAAAATTGCTGGTCTCTTAGAAACTAATAAGTTATGATAGCACATTTTAAAATTTTTATTTATATTTCAAATTCATCACCGCCCATCTCACTATGGAGTGACTCACATTTACTACATCCAACCATCTTTATATTCTAAAAGATTTTCCATTTTAAAAAAAGAATTGGAAAACTCAGATGAGACCACATCACTTATGATTCTTTGGATGGGAACCAAATTGATGGATAAGTACACATTTTAAATATCAGCAACAATATATAGAGCAGGGAGGTTTACTTGTATTTAGAAATGATGTTGGCTGATCATGGAACATTCCTGAGCAAGAGATAGTAGTAGACAATCTAGTGAAGCATAGTTCAAATCTGCCCTGTTCTCACGGGTTTTGGATTCCTCCAGATTTACCAAGGAGATAGAAAATAGTGGTTTAAAAGAGGTAAAGGTATGGCATCAGTTCAAACTGATACTTCTTGGCTTATCCGGCTGAGCTTAGATTCATCCCCTTTGTATTATAGATCCCATCTTCATGTGCTATTAAGGGTGACTATGTATACTGACTCCATCTGGGATCATAACCTTAAAGAACAATCTGATTTTGTGGTAACTTAAACATTACTATGTCTTTTCCTTTTTCCAGGGCAAAATATTTCAAGGGGAAGAAACTTCATGGGGAGCTGGACATCAAGGTTGAACAGGTAAGCCTGGGAGCAAGTATTAGGGACTGACTTTTGGAGTCCTTCTCAGAGTTTCAAACATATGGCTTTCCAGTTATTGTTGGGCTACAGTTTCCATATGTCTTCACAGTAGCTATGTTGGCTAGGGCTGATGGTAATTAGAGTTAAATAAGACCAGTACCATCCTGCTCTAAGAAGGATATGCAGTACTTGCTTGTTGTGCATTGACCCCTGTGATTAGCAGGCAGTGTTAGCAGGATGGGTAAATGTCTGGCCTGAGCCTCAAAAGTAGCTTAAAGCCAAACCACAGTTGTCCTCACATATATTGACTTTGACACACTAATGGAAGGTTCAAAGAAATGCCATTTAATGAGGGCCTACCTTGAGCTATTGCTAATCTTGGAGGAACAAAAATCTTTTAAAATCCATTCTACACAAAAGAGGAAACAAATAAATTACTAGTGCCTGTGGTCCATATTCTTAGTTCACATTATGTGGATCTATCTGGTAGTATGCAAACAAACTAGAACAGTTGCTATGACAGGGAGCTGCAAAGCCTCCAAGCTATCTTTCACCTTAAAAGACCAGTGAAATAATAGCATGCAGGTGAAGTCCTAGAGCTGACAAGAGGGAGAAGATAGGAGTTACTTTCAATAGGAGAAGAAATTCCCTCTCCCTGCAAGTATGTTGCAAATATTAGCTTTACTCTGGCTTCATATATACTCAACAACACTGCTCACCAGCAGAGCTGATGTTATTGGACTGCATAGGAGCACAGTTCTGTTGCAAAAAAATATGTGGAGGTGAACAGACACTGATTCATGCTTAATGTCATATTGTCTTGTGAGGAAGATGCACACTTGGTTAAGGGTAAGTCCACATGGAGTGTTTGCTTAGGTTTCAATGTTGCCTCATTTGAATTGCAGTTTATTGAAATTAAAATTTCGTCCATAGACTTTTGGTTTGAATTGAGAATAAAGCATAAAATACATAGTGTAGGGGAAATTTAGAAATGATGGGCAGGATAAATTTCAAGGAAACTACCTCACCATTAGGTTACATTTTTCTGCTGAGAATCCATTGGATAAAGACCAGGGAGGAGAGATGTTATTGGAGAGAATCCAAATTCCACCAGCATGTAATTTCTGCCTACATTTCTGCCCTTAAAATGAAGCTGAGAATGAATTCAAAGTAAGATAGCCTGAGGAGAATCCCTGCCTGTTTTTGTATTCTAGGATAGTTCCAAAATTAGATTTTTCAAACCCTTAATATCTTATCATACATGGTTGATGGGGGCTGGAAATGAGGTGATGAATTAACTTCTGTCTACCTCTAGAGATTATTTTCAGTGTAGACTTTTAAACGGTCTTCATGCGATCATGACTCAAAACTGAATTGTAGCAGTTAAAATGTTGGATTAAGACCAGGGAGGCCTAGGTTCAGGTTCATCTTCAACCATGGAAGCTGACTTTGGGCCAGTCACCGTCTCTCAGCCCAATCTATTTCACAGGTTTATTGTTTGAGGAGAAACAAGAGGAAAGGGTTCAGCGTATACTAAGTTGAGCTCTTGGGATTAGAATGGAGTATAAATCTAACAAATAAATCAGTTTGGTGTTATATGTGCAGCCAGGTCATTTATGGCTTTTTTAAAAAATCATGATTAAGATAGACTGTACAAATGGTTCAAGTGATAATTAAAAGACGTATTTTTTTTAATCAGGAAGCACTTGGGAAACCCCTGCATTTAGAAAAGATTTTTGGAAGTTGTCATGAATTCATTTAGTTGAGGTCACTCGTGGGTTTAATGGCCACTCTACAGAAGCTGAGAATGAGTATCAAGAAACACCTTAAAATTCTTCACCTTCTGTAGATAGTTGAGGAAGTCCCTAGCTATGATGAAACCAGGGGAAAATAGTAACCATAAGGGGTCAGATGCTGAATGTTGAACTACCTTCTTGTGGATGTGATTCCAACTGTTAGCAGTCAGGTTGCTATCTTTGCCATGCTTTTTTTTAAACTTAGAAAAAAATAGCTTTCAGTTATAGTACTGGTTCCATCTTAATTTAAATATCTCACATGCTTTTTCTTTGTTGTTGCTTTCTTTTTCTTATTACTAATTTCATTCTTTTTTATGCCATGTCATGTTGTTACAGCCTGTGGTCATAATAACTTACTGAACTTTGAACTAGTTGAGGACCTTGTTTGCTGTGATGGGCAAGTTTCCTTCAAAAGAAGCTTGTCTAGTCTTGCTGATTTTCTGACTGAAGTATCTGAAGAACCACATTATTTCCTGGAATTCTGTTTGGTACAGGACAGTCTAGCTTCTGTATGCATTTGTAGATAGAAAGCTTGCTCTGTGGGCTGGAGCAATCATCGTGGGTATCCCCGTACCTTGAAAAGTTGATGTGACAGCTCTGAGAATGTATGAATGCGCTAAATATGGTTTTGTCTTGTTTGTACTAGGCAGAATTCTGTGACCTGAACTTGGTGGCTCATGCTAATGGCAATTTTTCTGTTGACATGGAGGTTATGCGCAATGGGATCAAGGTAGTACGGTGAGTAGCAACATGGCACTATCTGTAGTTTATTATGCTTGTTCAGAATTTTATGTATTAATGGCTCATTATGCTTTAACATATTTCAGGGGAAATACTGAGTTTGATCTTGGCTACTGATCAAATAATATTTCATCCGTGAGCTTAACTGTGTATGTAAAAAAAAGCCTGCACTAAGTTTATTTAAGTCCATTATGTGTCTAGAACTTGGGATTTTTATGAAATTGGCAAGTTACACAGATTTTTGCTTTTTATGAATCTGCCCTGGTTGACCCAAGAGGAGAACATTATTACTCTGCCCAACATTTTTCTGGCTACTGAGATTGTGCAGTACAGTATAGCGTTAGTGTCCAGTATATAATTATCATCTTTAGAACTCTAAAACAATATTACTCATTGCAGTGCTACCGTTGAAAAGTTACTAAAGAATCCGACCTTTCCCTGGGATTATTTGACTTCCTGAATAATTTTATATATACTTGCAGCTGTTTTTATATCCCTGCAGCTGTTTAAGCAGCATCTGAAAAATTAACTCTTCCTCTCAAATGTGCTCTCTTATATTCTGCTTTTCCTGCCGCCCCCCAAAGCTATCATATATATGATCGATGTATTTCTCCAGATGTATTGGACTAAACCCCCCATTATGTCCAACACATCTGGAAATTACCAGATTGGCCAATGTTGAAGTAAATTGTTCTTTAATAGTAATTCTAACTTATGATGAAGGCTTGCTGTGTTCTCAAATGGAAGTCTTTCCCATCACTAACTGCCCAAAGTCTTTTAAAAAAGAGACGTCAGAGATGCTAAGCATGGGACCTTCTGTATATAAAGCATGTGCAGGATAACTCAAGTTGCAGGATTGGTTTTGCAAAATAAAATGCAGACGTAGAAGCCCCAACTGATTTAGGGCATGGGATGGGAGGTGGGGAGCTTTTAACTATTTCTCTGTCATCATATTCTTGATCTGAATTTTCTATCTGGCCTGCCACCCCCCTGCCATCCACGTACACATCTGGTATTATTTGCATTGGGGAGTAAGCATGTTTTCTTTATAATGACAGTTTTTCCCCTCAGTAAGCCACATGGATGTGTCTACAAAATCTTAAGGAAGCAACTTCAGCTTAAAGGAGATTTTATTTAATTTTTAATCTGGAGCAAGACTACAGTGGGGACAGGTCTTCCCATCTTGATCTGGATTGGTTCCCTGTACCTGCAATTTACATTTTAAAAAGCAACACTCAGTTTTTAATCCTGTGATTGAAATACCACAGAAGCTTCCAGGCAAGATTTGTTTTCTTTAACACAACTGTTGTATTTTGAAGTGCACATACAAATGCATACATTCACACAATGTAGTATTTTTGCACCACTTTTATCAGACTTCAGGATGATTGTGATATCAGCAAATATGCCAAAGAAGAAATCAGTAGATAACTCCTTCAAACAGACAAAATGTGCTTAATTAAATCAATTATTCTGTAAATCTGTTAAAATGTCTGGATGAATAAAAATGTTTTTATCTACTTGGTTTCTAAACATTGATGCCAGATCAACCTCTCTGAACACCATTGGTGCAGCACACAGCTACATTAATCTTTGTGATGTCAAATCTGACATAACCTCAAATGGGACATGGCCCAGGGCCTTCCAAGCTGCGATAGGCTACAATGAAAGTGTTGGAAGAAGCCTTAAGTGTACATGCTCTGATAATTGCTGGGAAATTTCTACTACAGCTTGACCACCCATGAAGGTTGAATTGTGGCAGAATAAACAGTGCACTGTCTGGAAATTAGTCTGTGAACACATAGTTATTGTTTATCCCTGAGCTTGGGAATGTGGCAGCCTTGGGTCTTAATGAGTAATCTTTTCATTTTCCTCCAGCGATTGAGGAAATGAGACCAACTTGAATCAAGACTAATGGACTGCTTAAAACAAATTTTGCAAATTGCATGGATACTTAAAAGCTGTGAATTCCCTGTGTTTTATATCTTAATATGTTATTTTATCTACCCCTACAGAGGATCTATAGCTCTCTCAGTGGCAGTGGAAGATCAAAGGAAAGTGAACATATGGAGCAAGAGGGTTTGATTTAGGCACCTAAAATGGAAACTATAGATTAGGAAGCAGGTTTTGTGGACAGATGCATGAGATTTTTTTCCTGGCTCTCCTTCCTTTTCATATCCACACTTTTCCTTCCAGGAGCCTGAAGCCAGACTTTGTCCTGATCCGCCAGCATGCCTACAGCATGGCTCGTGGTGGAGACCATCGTGGCATTGTTATTGGCTTGCAGTATGCAGGCGTGCCCAGTGTCAACACTTTGCATTCAGTATACAACTTCTGTGACAAGCCTTGGGTGGTGAGTGGCAGAAGATGATGATGGAGTGAAGAACCAGACCTGTGGTACTGTAGGTTCTGTATTAGAACTGAACACAGGAAATTTAATGTTGTAAATTGGAGAACATACAAGGTGGTGTATTTGGCCTGATTTCCTTATTCTGTGCATGAGAGGTATTCAGTTTGTATCCAGGAGGGCTTATTACATTTTACTAACTTGTTTTTAAGCTGCTTTTGGATAATGTAAAATGTAAAAATACAATAATCATTCATCATTCAGTATGCAGGGTAAGAAATGGTTAAACAACACCTTTATAACAAGAGAAGGTAGCAATTTAAAAAATAGCAAGTAATGTCAACTAATTAAAACGTCTGAGTAAACAAAAGTGCTGAAGTAATTGCAGTGTTGGTATTAGTTACACTTTCTACAAAGAAGCTCTTTCTCTTTATCATCACATAATATATCCAAGATGCCAACTATCTTAACTCATAGGCAAGCTAACTTAGAAGAGGTTATCCTAGAATTAGCTGGATCCCAAACTCTTTGTGTATTTAAAGATAGGCATGAGTGGCACCTTAAATTGGACTTGGAAGCCAACACGTAATACTGTTTTTCTTGGTTGGGCGAGTTATCACCGGATGCTCATTCTACACTAGCAGAAGCCTTTAGTTTGTCTTTGAGGACATTCCCTGGACAGAATATTACAAAAATTGGCTAAGTTATGTGTATCTAGGAAAAGCGGTGACTAGCATGTCAGCACCTCCCTGTGAATTGGGAATCACCTCAGTGTTACCGATGATGGTGGACATTGGATGAGATCTCTGACATTAGCTGGGTTGCAACATATTCTGTTAATAAAAACTTCCATTTCAGGATCAACTACAGAGAAGGAAGAGGGAAAGGAGTTGCAAAGGGAGGGGTCAATAGGAAAGTTAAAATAGAAGCCTGTGGAAATAGATTTAGAAACACTTCCCTTGTTTCTTCTCTTACTGCACTGTCTCTCCAATAGTTTGCCCAGATGGTCCGCCTGCATCGCAAGCTTGGTCCGGAAGAATTCCCCCTCATTGACCAGACATACTATCCCAATCATAAGGAGATGGTAAGTTGGACTGGAGTGTCAAAGGCTGGGAATCTTTCCGATTATGTGTTGAGACTAGCACATTTTGAGTTCTCTGGGTCTTTTAATAATTAAAAGGGCAAGTAAGCCATTTCTGAGTTGGACTGTTGAGGGTGACCATGTTTATACATTAGTACATATTTATGCATATAGCTAGCCTCATTAATGTGGTTTTCAGATGTAAAGTATGTCATATTTCCTCCTTAGCCAGCATGCCTTCATTTTCCTATTCAAGACTATGTCATGCATGACATGGCTTTGTCTTGTGAATGAAGTGGCCATACTTCAGTCTGCACTTGCTTTGGGTTTTTAATCATCTGTTCGTAGTTAACATGACTATAAAAAGGGACATAGGCTGCATCTGGGCTTCATGCTAGAGCTAGTGCTGGAGTTAGTAGCCCCAATGGCAGAAGATACTATTCCCTATTCAAGAAGACCACGAGATATTTAACATTTTTATCCACGATTCTCTTATCTATTTTGTGGGACAGGATGTTTTCTTGGCCAACAGTTAGACTTACTGTAAACCAGCAGATGTTTTCTCATGTATCTTCTAATGAAATTCTTATAAAGACTTCATCTAGGGGGAGCAGCTTAAGGGTGAAATATTCCTGCGTTGCCTATAATATTTACAAGAAATCAATTTTCTCTTAAAGGTGAAAACAAATCTATTGATAATAACTTTAATGTAATAGATAAAAGATTAGTTTAATGAATGTAACATACTAATATAATATAAAGTAATATGTATTGAGCAATATATATAATTCTGGGTATACAAAGGCTCAGATTGTTCAGGTTGTACTTATCTGGTAAACTGTTCCTAAATATGGACCCACTTAATTTGTTTCAGTATTTAATACTTACTCTACCATCATACTTCTTGTTCTTGTTTGCAAGTAGCATGCCCTCTTTCTGCCTATAGAAAACTTGGAAAATGTAATATTCTCATTAATAATATTTGTGTTCTCTTTTTCTATCTTAGCGTCTCCTGGAGGTTAATTTACCCTTTTGATCTAGCAGCCCCTGCTCACATCTTCATTCCTGCCCTCCAGCCAGTTCTTTCTGTTGTGAGGTATAGGCAGAGATTTTAAAATCAATGTACTTCTAGTGTAATTCTAAAGTACAATGATGAAAGCCAAGTTGTAGAAAGTCATCCTTCAATTTCAGGTAATGTCCTTCTACTCGAGACCCTGTAGATCAGCCTTGCCACTGTAGCTTGCCCCTGACTGTGATCAGAGATGGAACAGGGTTTAGAGCATACCTGTTGAATATCTGTATTGCCTGCTCACTTTTCAACTGCTAAGAAGCCAGATATTACTACAGTTATATCTTAAACAAGTTTGGGAGGGAGACCAAGGTTCAAAATAAGCATCAGTGTTCTCAAAAGTATTCAGTATTATAATATCCAAACAAAAGAGAGGTTATTTAAAGAGCACTCCTCATAGTTATTTTCAAAATGCAGAATAGTTTTGTGTGGTCTGAGACACAAAGGATGATTTGGCTGAATGACACTTCCCTTTCTTATTCCTTTCCTTTCTATAGATAGCACCCTTGGCAGGAACCAGGCGTTCCTCAAAATATATACTTTTCTGCTCTTTCTTCTAAATCCCGTATGTGTGCGTATTGCAGTCTTGTGACATTGCAGTTATTCAGTGATGGCTTAAAGGTACTTTTCCTGTGCTTAGAGATATGCTGTTGTTAATGACAGTTTCATATTTCCACACTGGATCTCTGGCTGAGCTGGGCAGCTTTGTAACCATGGTTTCTTTACTGCTAATCCAGAAAGTGGGTGATGGGATAATAGACCCAGGATGCCCAGATAGGGAGAAGGACTGGGGGCCAGGGTTGTAGTGGAAAGACTTGAAGTCCTTTTGAACAGATAAGGCTGTTTTCCAGGCTACTGAAAGCTTCTTCTGCTCCTTTTGTGAAAATCATCTACATGTATTCTAGTTTTCTTCCTGAAAAAACATCTACAAGATTTCCCTTGGCTCAGATCTTCCAGATTCCTTAGAGGAATCACTGTGACCTACTGTAGACGCCATTGCTACTGTCTTGTCAGAACCAGTACAGAATTTGAGTAAACTAATTGTTTGGAATTGGCATTTATTTAAAAAGAGACAACTCGGATAGAAACGGAGGGATTAATCAGGGAGAGGAGCACCATTCCAGAGTCCATAAGATGTTACTGCCTCAGGAGGCGAGCCTTGCGAAGAGACCCAGGTCCTTGCGAACTCAGTGACTGCCAGGTACAGACGTTAGGGTTCTCAGATCGAGACAGGCAAGCCAGGCGTTTGGCCTGGAGACCATCCCATATTCGGGACATGATCCCATCTGTCCATAGGCACTGGTTGTCAGAAGAGATGGAACATGGCATGGAAAGGCAGGGCATGACCTATTGAAAGAATAGCAGAAGGATATGAGGAGAGCGTGAGGGAGATGTTCCTCTTCAGTATCATGCAATACTCCATTACTGTGTCTCTTAATTTCTTAGTTCTACTTTGTTGTAATCTAGGATAAGCAATCAAATGTGATTGGGCCAAAAACAACTTAAAGTTGTTGCAAGTTAGAGATTTATGTCTTATCAGCGTTGAAGAATTGGTTCTAATTTTAATAGAATATATGCTTTGAACTGAGCAAGGACTGAAGGACAGATGACATAGGCTGTGTACTTTGTACATTCCTTTACAACTAACACTCAGGCAAAAGACCCCATCTTCCCAAGTCACTTCAGCATTATCCATCCCATTATTTACCAGAGTTATTCATTCCCATTTAGTCTGTGTCTCAGTGGATGTATGGCTGGATAATTAATTCTACATATGACTGGCTGCACCTTTGCACTCTTTCCTTCCGCCTTTTTTTGTTGCAAATACACCCACTATTAGCCTGCTTTATTCTTCTAGCTTTACAAGAGGCTAGAAGCTTTTGATTCCTATTGGTTGTGGAGAAGGAAAAAATCCTTCTGTGGACCCATAATGGAAATTCAGGATATTGATCTTTTGTAGGCTAGTTAAAAAAAAAGCCTTCTACCAAGATCTAGATGAGAGTTAGGATGGGTCTCCTTCCTCTGGAGCAAGCATGGAAAACAAGAGTTTTGGAGGAGATCGGTCTCTTATCTTCCAACCCAGTCACGTGCATAGAAATCTGTGGAATTCTGTGCAATCATCTACATGGATTGGATCTGTGGACTGACTAGATGACTTATTAGATAAAGCCATAAATAAGGATAGCCTTCACCAGCCTGATGCCCTCCAGATGTGTTCGACCTCAACCCGCATAATTTCCAGCTAGCATAGCCAGTGACCACTGTACCTGGAGCTTTTCAGAATTGTAATCTTACCCATATGGAGGGCATTAGACAGAGGAAAGTTGGGTAATGAGCTATAATTTCAGCTTTCAGGACAAGAAAGAACACTATGTGTATGTGTGTATGAGTAATGTTTTTTGGCTAGCTTTGCTTCTGCAAATCTGCCTGTAAGCATTTGCTCTTTTAACTGCTTCTGATGTCAGATCCCTGAGACAGAATATCTCCTAGACCCAGACACTCACTGTGCAGTTGCAACCCTTGCTGTAGTCAAGACTCAAGCCTCGTTTCTGTGCAAGAGAAAGCTGAGACAATGGCTGGATGAAGGAGCAGGCTGTGATCATGACACGATTGCCATCCAGCATCCCTGTTGGAGAAGAAGGAGAGAGAGAGAGGAGCTAAAATAGGGAATGTAAAAATTCTGTCTGGTGCATTAGCTACAGATTTTGCTTTTATAATCAAGCTTCCGCTTGCTGAGAATCTTGCAAATATATCAGTATTGCATATCTTCACCACCATAAGTAGGGCAGTATATTATTTTTCCCTTACACGGGTGATAATGAAATTAAATGTTGCTTCTGTGGTAATGCAAATTCTTTGCCAAAAATGTTAAACTCTGTCCCCTGAATGAATAACGCATGTGGGGTTGGGTGTTTTTTTTTCTTGATTTGGACTTCTTCCTTTGTTTGGTATTGCATATGATTTAATTGTATGGAGAATGATGTGAAATATTATCTTTCTCTTGCTCACTCCAGATATTTTATTAAGGGTTTGTTCTTTGGTATGCCAGAAGCAAAACTGAACCAAGCAGATTTTAGTTAAAATTGGGGAAAACTGCTTTAACAATATGGGCTGATAGTGGAATGGCTGCCTTGGGAGGGTGTGAACTCCAGTCATTGAAGTGGTTTAACTAAAGACTGGACAGCTGTGTTTTAAAGATGCTGTAGTTCTAATTTGTGTTGCAGATTCTTTGTTAAGCCAGGGAATAGATTAAAACAAGGTTTCTTCCAAGTCTGAGATGATATGACATCTTTTTTCAATTAAATGAAGTCTGATATGCACTGTGAAATCAAATCCCATACTATTCATATGTGCATATGTGTTTCTGTGCATTTAGCATGGGGTTAAAGTATCTCTGGTAGGTAGTAACGTTTCATGCTCTGTAACTTGGGCAATTAATTCTGTACTTAAAATTTCTCTTTCCCCCAAAATCAAAAAACAAATACCAGACTTCTTTCTTTTCTTTTTTTCCACGTAGAGCAGAAACATATTGTTTGAGTTGTTTGTTATAAGCAGCTTTGAGGCCAGCCTTGGCAGAGCCACTCACTATGGGGTAAAACTGTTCCTGGATTGTGTCATTTCAGACTGCAGGTGGGGGCTCAGTTTTGAATGCTTCGTTAAAAAAAAATTCACTGCACACAAAAAGTAGATGTCAGAGAGAAAAGCTTTGGCCTGGCCTAGCTTTTTCCATGACGTGCTGGTTTTTTAAATGTAAGGGTTGATTGTTTTTCTTTTGGGGGTAACTCTCAAATATGTAGCCCAAATACATTTTCTTGAGTTGGTTGCCTAGATTAGGGTGAAGTTATATGACAAATGTTTTAAATAAACAGTATGAACGAAAACAGTCTATAATATAAAGAATGCTAGCAAGATCAGTATGATGGACAGGACTGAG